GTTGGAACTCATGGTTGAGGGCTTGGGCTGCCTAAGGCTTGTGGAAGCTGACGATTGCACTTCTTGGTAACTTGAGCGGCGCGTGAGGGGGGGGGGGGGGGGGCTGGTCTATATCGGCCGCAAACACTGAAAGCCCACGAAAACGCCGTTTTAGGGATTAGGGTTTAGGGTTTAACCCTAAACCCGAAAAATCCTACAAACCGAAAACAAAGCAGCATGGGAGCCGAAACTACCAGAGGAGAGGACCTCATCGAGAAGGAGCAGCAGCAAAGGCGAGCTACTGGAGGGCACATACCTCACAACCAGTTGCTTGGCGGGCGAAACCCTAAACCCTAAGGTTTAGCGTTTCGGGTTTAGGGTTTAGAGCTAAACCCTAAACCCTAAACCTTAAACAGTTGAGTGCGGGACTTGTTGAAGCTAGGTACCAAGGAATTAAAAGGGTGCCCTGGTTGGCTTAAAGCGGCTTGCAAGGAACCTAAACACCCCCCCCGCCCCAATGGAATAACAGCCTACTTCCGGTCGTCGGTTTCCCAGACCCAAAAAGTAGATCCCCCTTAAAGGGTTCCCAAAAATGACCCAATGGTAGTAGTATGGGGTGCCATTGGGGAGGGGGGCGGGGTTTAGGGTTTAGGGCATACCTGTTGCCTACACCCCAAACCCTTCTGGGTAAACCCGAAGCCCCAAGTCCTAAAGCCTAAACCCCAAACCCCCAAAATTCTAAACCCGAAACCCTAAACCCCCAAACCCTAAGCCCGAAACCTACGGTACCGTAGTTCAACCTCGCCCCCCCCCCCCCAGGCTCAACGCGGCAAACAAACATGTACCACTTCGTAGGAACGACCCTTTAGTTTACAGGGATTGGGGCGAAGGGTTTTGGGCTTAGGATTTAGGGTTTAGGGCGGAGCCGTCAAGCAAAAAAAGAGAGACATAGAGGTGCGCGTAGCGCAAGAAAGCAGAGCAACACTGTGAAGGCAGAGCCCCTCAACTCAGGCGGCTTTCGACGACGTACTCTGCTTATCGTTGCTGGGCCTGACGGCTAAAAATTTTAAGGGCTGTTGGCACAGGCAAATGGCAGGAAGGAAAGCCCAATCTCGCCATGATCCTTCCATGACTTTTATGGACCACTACATTTACATGTCACACATATACATACACAGTATATATATATATATACATATGACTACACACATGTACATACTTACTGACATTATAACCTTCTAAACCTTTCTAAAGTCGCCTAAAGGCAGGTCTCGTTGTGCTTGCCGCATGTTCTGGCCCCAGCGTGTTGTAGGCTTCCGGGTGCAAAAAGCACTCAACCCTCAACCCTAAACCTGGGTGGTTTTCAGTAGGGAATCAGGGAAATGCCCTATACATTTAGGGTTTAAGGTTTAGGGTTTAGGGTTTAGGGTATATAATCCGTTACAGCGTACATATAGGGCCCTCATTCTCGCATGCCCTACTAAGAACTAGGGGGAGACCCTCAGTCGCCAAATTGTGCCTCACGCTGCGACACCGAGAACCCGGCTTTGGCGCGCTCTTCTGGACGGACCGCCGTAGCCTGACAGCTGTAAGCCCTGAACCCGGAAGCCAGGACAAACCACCGGGGTTCAGGGTTCAGGGTTTAGGGTTTCGGGGACAGGGTTTCGTTGTAGAACGACCGCGTTCGCAATCACGACGCTAGCTCCTCGATTTGATTGCACGTCCTGTATGACTCCCTAAAACCCTACACCCTGCAACTTGTCATATGACATGTACCATGCTCCCTTACCTTCGGGCCAAAAATGTACTCTCAGAAAAAGGGTGCATGTATACATATATATATATATATAAACACATATACATGTGTATATATATATATATATAAACCCTTAACACTAAAAGTTACATATATGTATAATGTACATGTAAGATGTGTATGCTGAGCTTGCCAGCCAAACCAGCAGCCCTGGGCGTCGCAAATACAAAATGCACATGAAGAACCCCCTTGCGAGTCTTGAGGGGTTCAGGGTTTAGGGCTCGGGTTTACAGTGCTAGGGTGTTAGAGTGTGAGGGTGTTGGGGTGTTAGGCTTTTAGGGTTTTAGGGTTTACGGTTTAGGGTCTTCCAGAAGCGTAGAGCCGTGGCAGCCAATGGACCTTAACTCAAAAACACATCGCGGTTGAGGGTCCAGGCTTTAGGGCCCCCATGCCCCGAAACCCTAAAGCCTAAAGCCTAAAGCCTAAAGCCTAAACCCTAAACCCTAAACCCTAAACCCTAAAACTTAACCCTAAACCCTAAACCTGCTGCGCCTTCCCCCGAAGTCGAACTTGGGGGTGCCACGTCTCACCGAGCAGGCGAGTCGGTCTCGCGCGGCCTTCTGAGTTGCGGGTTTAGGCTTTAGGGTTTAGGGTTTTAGGTTTAGGGTTTTACAAGGAGGGGCCCCCTTACTATACTAACTGTAGTTAAGGTACTGATAACCTAGTTTAGGATCCTTATAACCCAATTTTGGGGCTCTTATAACTCTACTTGTAACTAGGGGGCCCCTCTCCTTGTAGAGTCAGGTTTCGGGCTTAGGGTTTAGGATTTGGGGTGGAGGGTTGAGGGTTTAGGGCTTGGGGTACCGAGGGGCAGGTGCACTGATGTACTAGATGCTCCAATGCCAATCCCTACGAATTGCTTAAGAACCCCGAAAAAATATGAAGATTTTTCCTTATTAAGGGTAATATCGGGATACTTATTTCTTATTCTTTTGGGTTTCTTATGCAAATCGTCGATCAAATCTTCTTCAAGATTCAATGCAGCGCACACCCTTCAACAGAAGCAAACCTCGAGCCGAAAGGGGCCCAAACACGGATGCCGAAACCCGGCCTGAAACCCAAAGTACACCACATGTTTAGGGTTTAGGGTTTAGGGTTCAGGGTTTAGGGTTCAGGGTTCAGGGTTTAGGGTGTAGAGTTTGGTTTCAGGGTTCTAGGCCCTGCATTCGGGGGTGAGGTACCTTGCGGTCCTCTTACTCCCTCGAAAACCCAAACCCCACAGCCCTAACACACTCCAAACCGTCAAACACACCCTGGCAAAGCCCCTACTCCCCTAAACCCAAGCACCTACAACCTTAACTCCTAAAACCCTAAGCCCTAAGCCCTTTAACCCTTAAACCTTGAGCCGAAACCCTAAACCCTAAACCCTAAACCCGAAATCCTACACCCTAAACCCTAAACCCGAAACTTAAACCCTAAACCCTAAACCCTAAACCCTAAACCCTAAACCCTAAACCCTAAACCCTAAACCCTAAACCCTAAATCCTAAACCCTAAACCCTAAACCCTAAACCCTATAAACCCTAAACCCTACGCAATTTCTCCTGTCCTTCGGCGCATTAGCTGCCGGTCGCCGGAGCGGGGCGCGTACCATGAATGGGGGGGCGCAAGGGCGGGTGAAGTTTTTCAGAATGCGGGCCTTTTGTGAGAGTTTAGGGTCTAGGGTTTAGAGGGTTCAAGAATTTGGATTCAGGGTTTAAGTTTTGGGGATGCCTGTTCTGTTGCGGCCCCATTTGGATTGAGTTATGGGGGTAGACCCTACTCTCTTTTTTTTTTCTTTTGGGGGGAGGGGGCGGGGGGTGGGGGGAGGGGTCTGTGTCAGGTTGATGGTTGAGTGGTTCGAGCTTGCCGGGTCTACAGTTAAGCTTGCAGGTCCAGGTTCCCGGTGTGGGTCTGGCGTTTAGGGTTTAGGGTTTAGGGTTTAGGGTTTAGGGTTTGGCGTTTTAGGTTTTTAGGTTGAGGGCATGGGGTTTGGGGTTGAAGGGCTGTTGGGGGTTTGAGGCGAGGGGCCCTGGTGGCAAGCTGCAGCATCCAGAATGAACAGCTGATAAGCGGCTTTGAGTTGTCAGGGGGGTTTAGGGTTTAGGGTTTAGGGTTTAGGCTTTAGGGTTGAGTTATCAAGGCAAGCTGTAGCATGAGTCCCTGTATTTCAGCTTGTCTGAGACAAGCCCTAACCCTAAATGCACAACACTAAACCCCACTGACCCCAACTCCGATAACTCCTGTTTGAGTGCTTCGTTTCCTAAACCCAATTTTCACAAGACAATATTGCTTCGTGCTTCTTTCATTCTCTCTGTACTACTATTTTCTGTAAGAACCCCAAAAGAATTTAGAAAGTAGTAATGATCCCCATACTACACTTGATATGGAAGAATATCTTTGTTTTTTCGGGGTTCTTAAGAAATTCGCTATCGTTATGTTGGTCCTTTTCCTTGTGTTGATGCTCAACCCTAAACCCTAAAGCGTAAACCCTAAACCCTAAGCACTGAACCCTAAACCCTAAACCACCCAATTTGCAAAGCACTTCCCAAACTCCAACTGCCAACCATCAAGTCCTCACCGTCTGGGACTATTAGGGCTTAGGGCTTAGGGTTTAGGGCTTAAGAGTTCAGGGATTCTGAACCCGATAAACCCTACAGCCATAAGCCTTGGGTTTCTGCAACCAGATTCTGAAAGTAATCTAGGAAGAAAGCACCCAGACCCCTGGGAGTATCTAAAGAGTAGATCCCCATGAAGGGGTTCCTGAACATGACCCAATAATAGTACAGGGTACTATTTGCGGGTTCTACTTTTTGGATCCTCCCAGGAGTCCGCCCCTAAACCCTAAACCCTTGGTCCCTAAACCCTTCTGGGTAAGTTTTAGGGTTTAGAGCTAGGAATTGGAACTAGGGAACCTAACCTTGGGAATCAGGGCGCACTCTGGGCCCTAGCATCCTACACCCTGAGCCCTAAACCCTAGCCCTAAATCCTAAACCCTAAACCCTAAGCCCGAAAGCCCGAAAGCCCTAAAGCCCTAAAGCCCCAAAGCCCTAAAGCCCGAAAGCCCTAAAGCCCTAAAGCCCTAAAGCCCTAAAGCCCTAAAGCCCTAAAGCCCTAAAGCCCTAAAGCCCTAAAGCCCTAAAGCCCTAAAGCCCTAAAGCCCTAAAGCCCTAAAGCCCTAATCCCTATGTCGGCCCCGACATCGCCACACGCTTTCTTTCGGCCGGTCAGTTGTAGCAGCTGCCTCGGCGATTGACCTGCTGCTTCACCGGGTTTATGGATCAGGGGTTGAGGGTTTAGGGTTTGAATGGGTTTACGGTTGAGGGTTTAGGGTGTAGGGTTTAGGGGTTCAGGGTTAGGGTTCAGGGGTTTAGGGTTTAGGGCTTGGGGTTTAAGATTCAGGGGTTTAGGGGTCAGGGTTTTGGGGTCTAGGGGTTCAGGGTTCAGGGTTTAGGGCTACGATTTGCTGAAGGACCCCCCCCCAAAAAAAAAATGAAACAGATCACTTCCTCATAAGGGATAATATCGAGATGACCGTTTCTTTTGGGGGGGGGAATTCTTTATTCAAGTTGTGGTTTGGGGTTCCCCAGAAGGGCCAAGATGTGCTGCTGCGGGTAGTTGCAAATATGGAACACCCTCATTAGCTAGGCTAGATATTGGTTAAACCCTAAACGCTAAACCCTAAACCCTAAACCCTAAACCCTGAACCCCTAAACCCTAAACCCTAAACCCTAAACCCTAAACCCTAAACCCCTAAACCCTAAACCCTGAACCCCTAAACCCTGAACCCTAAACCCTAAACCCTAGTTTTCAAGGCCTTCGAAAGCCACTCAGGTCGCCCAGGATGAACTGAGCCTCAGCCCCCAGGGCTGGCTCTGGGTTTGTCCTTTGGCCCCCAACTCGCTAGCCCTAAACCCTAAACTCGCTAGCCCTAAACCCTAAACTCACTAGCCCTAAACCCTAAACTCACTAGCCCTAAACCCTAAACTCACTAGCCCTAAACCCTAAACTCACCGTCAAACGCACACACAAACCAAAAAAGACTTAGGGTTTAGATTCGTGTAGACACTTGGTCCGAAAGCCCTAAACCCCGTAAATCCAAGCCGCTGACACCCTACATCCGAAACCCCAAAATCCCTGAAACCTAAACCCCTAAACGTCCTAGTCCTTGAACCCTCCCTCTTTTGCGCAGACCCCAAACCCTGAACCCCAAACCCCAAACCCCAACAACCCTCAACGGGGCCGCGGCCAGCCAGCGGCGGCTTAAACACCCACCACACCTCTCGTCTTCGACGTTAGGGTTAAGGGTTAAGGGTATAGGGTTCAGGGTTAAGGGTTCAGGGTTCTGGGTTTAGGGTTCTGGGTTTGGGGTTTAGAGATTAGGGTATAGGGATTTGACTTCCGGGTTGAGGGTTCAGGGTTTAGGCTAAAGGGTTGGGTGCTGAAAGGCTTCAGGGCTCAAAGGGGCCCAGAGTTCAGTACCAGGGTTGAAGGGCTTGGGGTTGTAACCCTATACCCTATCCTCTCAACCCTAACCCCCGAAACCTGTAAACCCTCGACCCCTTGAAACCCCTACACCTTTTGAGGTCCGGACTGCTAGACCCTTGTCAGCCCTGATACGCCCCTTAAAAAAAATTCCAAACCCCTCCCTTGAACCACTGGAAGGCCACAAAGTTCTGCTTCCTCACCAGCGCACAAAAAATCTACCAGCATATGAAACAGGGTTTATATTTCTGTTTTTGTTGAGAATATATAAGGCTCCTTTTAAAAATTGGTGAGTGTATCTATTGGGTGTCCTTTTGGGGATACAAGAAATATAAACCCTGCTTCATATAAACTTCATAACGCCCTCTGTGACCGAAGCCCTTACAAACACTGACCAGCCATGGTAGGGTTGAGGAAGAGACCATGCTCGAAGTTGGCAAAAGAAGAGCTGACGAACCCAACACACGCGAAGGGCGCCACTGGCCCCAACGGAGGCCATGCCCTTTTTGTCTCAACACACGTGATACTTTCAGTACTCCCGTAAATTCCGTGCGAAGAATAACCCCTACCCTAAACCTTAAACCCCAAACCCCAAACCCTAAACCCTGAAAGGGGGGGCATGGTATGGGGTTTTGGGGCATCAAAGAGGGGCCTCGGCAGCCAGGAGCAGCTCGAGGTCGAACTCTAAGGCAAACTCCGTCACTGCCTGCTGCTGCGAAATGGGTTTGGGGTTTGGGGTTTAGGGTTTAATGTTGCACCCGGTTTAGTGAGAGGGGGCACTATTATGCGTTTTTCCGGAAATCTTATAGGGGACCCCCCATTGATTAGGGTGGTCCTCAATTATGCGATGTTTGCCGGCCGGGGTTGAAGGGCGGGGGGCCGGGGAGCCAAAAACTAAAAAATGTTTTGAATGAGAAGATCCGGAATTTTTTGGTGTCCAGCCTTATTTAAATTCCTTTTAAAATTTCATTACGAAACAGGCCCCCAAACAATTTTCCAAGGGAGTAGCCCACGAGCTGCCCTGATTCGCTTTAGCAAGTTGTTTCGGTGGTCCGCATTTATGCGGAGCCCCGGCGACCGTGGAGCTGCAAAGCCTGGAAAGCTTAGACCCTCAAGCTTCAAGGCTTCCCCTCAACCCTCGACCCCTAGCCGCCCTACCCCCAGCCCCGTCCCAGCCCCAGCCCACCCTATTCAGGATCCCCGAAAACCCCAAAATTGTTTGGGGGGGGGGGGGGGGGGGACCCCCCCGTACTAAACCGAGTCCAACATTAGGGTTTAGGGTTTAGGGGGTGGGATGCAGAGCTTGGGGTCTGGTAGCCTGGGGTTGTGAGGGTCTAGGGCCCAGTACCTCAAAAAACCCTAAACCGTAAGGGGGTTTACGAAAATCAGGGACCCCCTAACTTAGTCCCACAAATAATTGGTAGGATTCCCTTATGATAACGGCCCCAATCAGGTACCCCTATTTTCGGAAACCCGCATGAGGATTTGGGATTCTGGGTTATATGGGGCCTAGGAGGCGTGGAACAAAGAATAATAGTGGGAAAAGACGGAAATGAAGAAGCTGCAAGGAAAAAACCTTAATGTAGAAAGCCAAAAGTCAGGTCTTTTTTGGATTACAGGAAAATGAGGTGTCACGATTTTAGTGTTTCAAGTGTGCTTTTAAATGGAATTCCTGAAATTAGAGAAGCCTTTTAGTGAACCTGGAAATGATTGCTTCAACGGTATTTTGCAGCCATAAACAGATCGTTGGTATGCTAGGAATAACATTCACTTCGTGTGAAGGATGAAAGAGAAATGAGAGCGTCTTTAGCAGATCTAAACTTCAGGACTGTTTAAGGGGATTGTTCACGTTTCGTCTGATTCTCTTCGTCATGCAAAATCCCTTAGAATCGTAAGCTGTTGTTGATATTTAACGGTCTTTTGTCAATATTTCACGGTCTTGTAGTTTACGGGCCGTTCTTCTAGTTTATAGGCCCGTTCACTCATACATTCAGTCCTTCTCTTGCTCATTTATTCGCTCATGCAACTAGAAGACGCATGCTGGGTTTGGGCCCAAACTTAACTTCGACCCTTTGGGGTTTATAGAGTTTAGGGTCTAAGGTTTAGAGTTTAGGGTTTAAGGTTTAGGGTTTAGGGTTTAGGGTGTCAGCAAGGCCACAGGGAACTGGCAGCGCATGTCAGAACATCCTAAACTGTAAACCTGGCGTCACTAGCAATCGCTGGAGGGCGGGGCTTAGGGTTGAAACCCTAGAACCCGACACCCTCAACCCTGTAAGGTTCAGGGTTTAGGGTTTGGGGGTGTCATGGCTGTAGCCAGGCTTGCTTCCGCCCTCTCTAGGAACATTGAAGGCTAGCCATCCTTTTGAACCTCTACTCCTGTAGACCGATAAGCCGCCCTTCAACCCTAAACCCTAAACCCCAAACCCCCTTAACCCTAAACCCGAAACCTAAACCCCAAACCCCAAACCCTAAACCCTAAACCCTAAACCCCAAACCTCAAACCCTAAACCCTAAACCCCAAACCCTAAACCCTCAACGTGCCCCCATATCCAGCCACCTCTACCACTCCCGGGAACGTGGGGGCGAAGTCGTGGCCGGCCTCGCTTACTTGGAGGTTCAGGGTAATTACTACTTATAGCTGTACTTAGGGGTTTAGGGTTTAGGGTTTAGGGTTTAGGGCCCATGCCATATTCGGGCACTTAAGGGGCTTACAAGCGGGTCATAAATACAGATATACTTGGCTCATAAGTACCGTGAACCACCAAGTAATGGGTCGAAACTCCACTGCGGCCAGGCTGGGAAAACTGAAAGAAGGGGTTCCGGGTTTATGGTTTATGGGGTTTAGGGTGTATAGTATATAGGGTATACAGGGTATATGGGGTATACAGGGTATATAGGGTATATAGGGTATATAGGGTATATAGGGCATATAGGGCATATAGGGCATATAGGATTTAGGGGTTTGGATTGAAGAGACCCAGGAGCTTATTTCAACGTCGACAAGGAGCCTTCAGTACACTCGCACGCACCAATAACAGCAAGATGGCCAGTTCTCTAAATTGGGGTACCCTTTTTTGGGTACCCTATATACGAGGGGCCGCCGTATACTAAAGACCGAAAAAGGACCATATTTGAGAGAAATCACCATATGAACGCTGTCACTTGGGGTTGAAGGGGCCGTCCTGCCCAGCGGAGTACTTGGAGGTTCATGGTACTCATTGACCAATTACAACTGTACTTATAACCTACTTATAAGCCCCTTAAGTGCAGTTCTTAGAAGTACAGTTATACTTGGTCAATGGTTAGTAAGTGTCATGAACCTCCAAGAACGCCAGGCAATTGTCGTTCGGGCGTGTCAAGGATGAGGGTTCTTAGGGTTTGGCCTGGGCCCTCAACAGGGTTGCTGTAAAGGAGCTTGACGAAAGTTCGGAATATGGGTACTTACTTAAAACCCAAATTCTAGCCCTAAACCCTAAACCCTAAACCCTAAACCCCAAACCCCAAACCCCAAACCCCAAACCCAATCCTCCAAACCCAGAACCCCTCAACCCTGCACCCTCCAAGCTGGCAGCCGACCCAAGAAGACCTGTGCCCTGGGCGCAACTTTCCCTGGCACCTTAGGGTTTAGGGTTTAGGGTTTAGGGTTTAGGGTTTAGGACCCATTCCCCGGCGCCCTGGCTTAGGGTTTATGAGCCATGCTACCGCCCTAAACGGGGTAAACAGGGAGACGAACCCAACGTTTGGCTTTCGGGCTTAGGTCTTAAGATTTAGGGCATCAGGGTGAATGCAACAAGCCTTCAGAACCTCATCGAATCAACATTTGGTTCATGTGGGCCAGGCGGAGCCCCCAGACAGAAAACAAGCGAGCCCAAACCAAATGGATTCAGGGCGTTGGATTTGCTTGACGTGGGCCAGGCGGAGCCCTCGAACCCTAAACCCCAAACCCTAAACGCTAAGCCCAAATGGATTCAGGTCGTTGGTCAGGGTTTAAGCGTTTGCACTGAGGGGCCCGGCTAAGATGCCGTGCGGCCGCAGGAGCGGCCAGAAGACCTGCGCAAGACAGACTAAACCCTAAACCCTAAACCCTCCACCCTACACCCTAAACCCTAAACCCTAAACCCTGAACCCTGAACCCTAAACCCACAAAATAAACCTTCGGAATGAGTGACCCTAAGCCCTGAAACTTCATTAGAGAATACTAGGGAAGTCTTGAAGCAAACTTTTTCAGGATATGGCAGTGCCACTGTAGCCGAAGAACACGGAAAAATCCTTCTGGGTCTGGGGGGTGAGTTTAGGGTTTGGGGTTTGGGGTTTAGGGTTTAGGGTTTCGGGTTTCGGGTTTCGGGTTTCGGGTTTAGGGTTTAGGGTCTGGGTGGGTCTGGGGTGGGTCTGGGGGTGGGTCTGTGGGGGGGGGGGGGGCAGTTTTGCCTTCAGCCATCCTACCCCCCAGCATCCCTCAAGGAAAGAAGGGCACCACTGGGCGTCCTAGACTTGAATTCTGAATTCCTAAACACGAAATCCTAAGCCCTTACACCCTGACACCCTAGACCCGAAACCCCAACTTGAACCCTAAACCCTAAACACCCTAAACCCTAAACCCTAAACCCTAAACCCTGACACCCTAGACCCTATGGACTTTGACGATGTCAGAGCGCATCCACGCCTCGATGTCTTTCCGGACGCTTCCATAGCGATGATCGCCATCGAGGAAGACAAGATCAAGATCGCCCCTGTAGGGCGTTTGGGGTTTGGGGTTTGGGGTTTGGGGTTTGGGGATCAGGGTTTAGGGTTTAGGGCTTAGGGGTTTAGGGTTTAGGGTTTAGGGTCTCGGGGTTTAGGGTTTGGGGATGAGGGCATAAGGCTTTACGGCGCAGGCGTTTAGAGCTGAGGGAGGTTTTAGTGCGGAAGCCTCCGGGATGCTTAGAGTGTTTGAGGCCCAGCACCCTGGGTTTAGGGTTTAGGGTTTAGGGTTTAGGGTTTAGGGCTAGGGGATAGGATTAGGGGGGACCTTTGGGGATATAGACCCTCTCAATAAGACACCTGTTTCAGAGAGCCAGAAGAGGGTTAAGAAGGGTTCCTCTTTAAGGGTCTCCCTTATCCTACCTGGGACACCCCCTTTTGGCTTGTTGGAGGCTCGTTTGGGGCTGAGTAAACCCTGAACCGTCAACCCTCAGCCCTACACACCAAACAACCTTACGGGCGCTTACCAGGCCTGAGGGAATTCTGTACCCCAAAAAATAAACCCTTTCAGGGATTATGTGGGGTATCTAACTCCCTCATTCCCTCTTGACGACCGGTAAGCCGGAAGACCTAAACCCCAAACCCTAAACCCTAAACCCTAAACCCCAAACCCCAAACCCCAAACCCCAAACCCCAAACCCGAGAAGTCCTTGGGGCTGAGCCTCAGCCACTGCAGCCCGGCGCTGGTCTGCAGCACAAAGGATGCCCGCCGCCGGAAGCGCTGTGTGGCCCTTATAGGGTTTGGGGGTTTAGGGTTATTGGGTTATAAAGTCGAGGGAGTCCCTAAACCCTAAACCCTAAACCCTAAACCCTAAATCCTAAACCCTAAGCCCAAAACCCGAATCAAACCCTAAACCCGCAACCTTGTCGGGTTCGGGGTGGTTCGGGTTGAGGGTTTGGGGTGGTTCGGGTTTAGGGAGTTTATCCCTAGGCACTTACCCCCCATGAACCCCCCTCCCTCAAGAACCCTATAAATATTGGATTCTTGGGCAACCCAGACAAAAGGAGGCGTGGGTTCTTAAGTTAGGGTTTCGGGTTTAGGGGTTTCAGGTCTGCTTGGGAAATATACAAGCGATAACACCCCACAACTAGGAGTGCATAGGCTTCTTCTCTTTGCGCTAGGTTCGGAAAACAACAAGCGATAGCACCCGCAAGTGCACCTTGTTAACTACATTTCCGCAACGCGCAGGAAGGGATCGCCTTTTCTTTCTTTCACTGAAGGGTTCCCAAAGGTTCCTAACCCTAAACCCTAAACCCTAAACCCTAAATCCTAAACCCTAAAATCCAGGGCTGTGGCCCAGCTGCTGCCAGGAATGTGGAGCGGGAGGAGATGTAAAACTCCTTTTCTTCGTGCTGAGGCTTCCGACTTAGGATTTAGGGTTTAGTCTTAGATGTTCGTGTTGTGCCTTTCAAAAAGGGTACTCTTCACATGAAAAAACGGGTTGTCACAAACCGGAAAAACCTGACATATTCCCTCCCAAGGTAGTAAACCTGACATATTCCCTCCCAAGGTAGTTTTGGGATTTCGTTGGTGTCGTCAAACCTAAACCCTAAACCCAGCAGTCTGGATTGGCTCTTCGATCTCCACGGCCTATGCTGCTTGCTCATCCACCCGGCCGAAAAGTGGGAGTGCTCGCAAAAAGGGCAATTTCGTTCCTCTTTAAACTCAAGTCTATGTTTATTTTGGTGTGCCTGAGGCACGACCGAAAAGTGGGAAAATGTCAGGTTTTAGTGGGAAAATGTCAGGTTTTAGTGGGAAGATGTCAGGTTTTAGTGGGAAAATGTCAGGTTTTAGTGGGAAAGTATCAGGTTGTAGTGGGGAAAGGGTGGCAAATGTCAGGTCAGGTCAGGTTGAGGCCACAAAATGTGAGGATGTAGTTATTAATGAAAGGGTGGGGAAAGGTCAGGCTGCAGTGGGAAAATGTCAGGCTGTAGCGCTCCGAACACTGCTTGCCCAGGTTTGCACACCCGATGTCCGATTTGTGAAAGCACCCTCAGTGTGATTTGTGCGACGAGAAATTGCCTTCACTGATGGCGATTATGTGTTTTTTTCAGATGATGCATTTGTCAGGTTTTGCTGGGCTTTTGTCAGGTTTTGTTGCGTTTTTGTCAGGTTTTGGTGGGGTTATGTTTGTACATACAAACACTTGAAGAGACCCCAAACAAAGAGTACATGGACGCAAATCCCTGATTTAGGGTGCAGGGTTCAGGGTGTAGGGTTTAGGGTTTAGGGTTCAGGGTTCAGGGTTTAGGGTTCAGGGTTCAGGGTTCAGGGTTTAGGGTTTAGGGTTTAGGGGTAAGGGTTTTGAAATTGGGGAGCTGGAGTTCGACCCAAACCCTAAAAGCCAGAGTTTAGGGTTCAGGGGAAAGGGCTTAGGGGCTTAGGGCTTAGGATTTAGGGTTTAGGGTTTGCCTACTTTTTCTTATTATGATCAACCTCCCTGAGAGGATGCTTAGGCGGACTGCAAAGAAAACGGCTCTGAGTTCTTGAAGTAGGGCCAAGGAATTCGGGTTCAGTTTTCGGCTTTGGGGCTTGGAAACTGTAAGGTTTAGGGTTTAGGGTTTAGGGTTTAGGGTTTAGGGTTTAGGGTTTAGGGTTTAGGGCTTAGGGTTTAGGGTTTTTAGGGTTTAGGGTTTAGGGTTGCAGGTTTAGGAGGTTGTGATAAGTGCAAGTGATGGCTTGGATGGGGCCTCTATGGTCAAGGGTCCCTCGTCAACAACTGCAAAACAAACCCTGAAGAATGACATATTTTTAGGGTTTAGGGTTTAGGGCTTTAATAACAATGACGGTTTAGGGTTTAGGGTTTAGGGTTTAGGGTTTAGGGTTTAGGGTTTAGGGTTTAGGGTTTAGGGTTTAGGTTTTTTTTTGTTGGTGCAGAGGGCGTGGGGGGGGGATTCTCGTGGAAGCCCTATAGACCCTATAGAAGCTCTAGACACGAAGACGCGAAAAACACAGAACTCACCCCAACGTGACCGAGGCGTAGAATCAAAGGGCGCCCGTTCCTTACTGAAAAATGTGGGGCCTAATCCGTAAAAACCCTAAACCCTAAACCCTTATCCAGGGAACCCTGAACCCTGAACCCTATAAACACTAAAGACGAGGCCTGTGGGCTACGTAAGCTTAGTTGCTGAGCTCACAAGCCCCTCAAAAAGTTTACACCCTTTAGTTTTGTAGAGATTATAGGATCCCAAAAAGTGTAAAGTGTACTCACTCAGCTACGAAGTAAGGGCGGTCGCACCTCAAACTGATTAAACTGCGTCGTGTGATTCTCGGTGTGCAAGTGATACCTCGCAAGTCGTCAGAACGTGGGGTCGGGTCTGGGTTTATGGTTAGGGTTTAGGGTGTAGGTTTAGGGTTTCGGGTTTAGGGTTGGCTTAGGACTATTCAGGGTTCAGGGGTTTAGGCGTTAGGGAGAAAGGGGGGTTAAAAAGGGTAAGGGGTTCATCAGGTGTGGGGTTCCGGTGTTGCCAGCGGTTGGAAGGACGAAGTCTTGATGCTGGTGGAGGGTCCAGAATTCTGAATAGTGACAGAAATCCCAGAACCCTTGAGCCCCCCTAAACCCTAAACCCTAAACCCTAAACCCTAAACCCTAAACCCTGAACCCTGAGCCCCAACCCAAACTCTAAGCCCCAACCCAAACTCTAAACCACAAGCCGAGCAAGGCACAGACTTCTACGATTCGAGGCGCAATTTCCAAGTATTCCAACATGGGCCGGCAAGGGTTTCAGGCTTGGGGTTTAGGGTTTAGGGTTTAGGGTTTGGGGTTTGGGGTTTGGGGTTTAGGGTTTAGGGTTTAGGGTTTAGGGTTTCCAGACTCCAAAGCTCATCGATGTTTTAGGGCAAGAGGCCATGCAGTTCTGGCCGCGTTGGGGGTCATGGCTCCTTGGGGTATTCAGGTCAGCTTCATGGGTGCTTGAGTGGTCAAACCTCTGCCTTCTGCCCAAACCCTGCGCCACAGCCACCGAAGCCAACAAAAGAGATGTGAGTTTCGGGTTTAGGGTTTAGGGTTTAGGATTTGTTTTAAAATAGGGTGTCGCAATGGTGGCCGATGAACTTGTTGTACCAGCTGGTACTTAAGGATGATGAGATTGCAAATCCAGTACAAAAGGCCCACCTTCTTCATGCAGTATACAGTTGATGCACCCCCCCCCCCCCCACCAAGAGACGAATTCCAAGAAACAGAAGTGACAGTGAATTACATAGCGAAGATCATTGGCCAGTTACCCGAAGATTCGTACTTCTTGATATAATAATTCGGGAAATGGTCTCGCAAGCAGGAATTATTCGGGTTTTTAGAATGGTTTAGACTTCTGGGCGCCCGAAAACAAGCACAGAAATAATGAGGGAACATAGGCATCCGCCGAGGCCTCGGGCCATACATGGAGGTCCATGGTACTTAGCATCAAGCAGGCACCCCGCCTCTAATCCCCTGCCCAGCAGCCAGGTGGCCGGGAGCGCCAGGAGGATTCGGGCCCGACAACACCCCCGGTTTAGGGTTTAGGGTTTAGGGTTTAGGGTTTAGGGTTTAGGGTCTCCCCCGCACCCACCTGCCACCCACCCCCACCGCGGTTGTCCTTGCTGGCTTGTTTCCTTGCTTTACCACTCCCACACTCTGGGTGCCTGGTCTGTATTAGTACGGCAACCTGTGTTTTACAACAGGAATCCCTGAATCCTAGCAGCACCTTCACACACGCGATCACGGGTTTGGGCTGCCTGGCCGGTCGAGGCGGGTCGCGACGCGCTAAAAACAAACCCTCAAATACCTCAAACCCTAAACCCTAAACCCTAACCCTGAACCCTAAACCCTAAACCCTACGAAGACTTGGCCGAGGTCCCGGCGGGTCGACGAGGAGAATCCTGCCCACACAGGTAGCCCGTTCTCCCAGGACGCCCCCTGCTCTCAGCCCTAAGCACTTAATCCTGCACAACCCTAAACCGCAAACCCTAAACCCCAAACCCTACCCCAAACCCTAAACCCCAAACCCTAAACCCCAAAGCCTAAACCCTAAACCCTAAACCCCAAACCCCAAACCCGAAAGCCTAGAGCCCTAGACCCTAGCAGCAACCTTCCATGCCCCAGGTCATCTGGAGATCTGCAGAGTTGAATTCGGAAAGACCGACTCTGTCGGCATCTATCCTGTTCCACCTGCGAATGAATCAACAAGTGAGTGTAAACCCCTGTATTGGGATGCTCCCCCTTATACTAACAGTCCTTAATGGGGATTATAATCGGCGGCACGATACTCCCTAGGACTCTAAGCATGAGGGGGAAAATCCCAACCCCTAAGCCCTCAGTTCTCAACTCCACACGCATGATGCCCTGTGTGGCTTCTCTCCAGGTCTGGCTCAAGCCCGGAGTCTAGCTTCACCCCGTTCAAGGTTGTGGGTTTAGGGTTTAGGGTTTAGGTTTAGGGTTTAGGGTTTAGGGTTTAGGTTTTAGGGTTTAGGGTTTCGGTTCTAGAGTATGACGGGCCATAATACGACAGGGCCCTGACAATAGGCCCCTGATTCAGACAACGGCTGACCACATGAAGATGACGAGCGCATTGCCGCAATAACCCTTTTCCCGTCCTCTTGCCCCGCCACGCCCTCCCTCCTCCCCAACTGAACCTCAACACCAAACACACCACCATCCTTCCATAAACTACAAGCAAAGAGCCAGCGCCTGAGATTTTCAAAGAGGCCCAACAGCTTCGACGAAGTTTCGCCCATGAACACACCCACCTTCAGGAGGGATGGATTGAATTTGGGTTTTTACAACCCTAATGAAGAGGCATGTAGATGAGACAGCTCCTATCTGGGAAGGCTGGATGATGGTGGGCACAGATCCCGGGTGCTAGGATCTTTATGTTTACGTGGCCTGTTGGTCCCCGACTGAACCCTTTTGTTCAATCTTGTCTGACCTTAGCAAAAGGAAATAAGGGGCTCACTCTGGTTCTTCTCTAGCCATAGCAAGCCCTCAACTCCCAATCTCGGGCCTGGTTTCAAGTGTGATCAGGGTTTAGGGTTTAGGGTTTAGGGTTTAGGGTTTGGGGTTACTATTTGGGGTGCGAGGTTGGATTTAGGGATTGCTTCGTTGCTGAGTTCATAACCCCTCCCCCCCCCCCTGGTGACTTTCACTTGTATGGGCGGCCACATTCGCGCAAAAAATGTGTAAAGTGTACATTCAGCTACTAAGACTGCGGTTGAGTTGTCCGCAAGAAGACTGAAGCCTTGTACGCGTACATGCACACGCCTCCGCCGCCCGAAGTTCGCGCCCTTCCTCTGCGACCATAGACAGCAGGCCTCCAATGAGGGCTTCGGGTCTAGGGCCAGGGTTTAGGGTTTACGGTTTGGGACTTGGGACTTAGGGACTTGGGACTTAGGGTCTGCGTTTAAAGCTTTTGGTTTCGGGCCAGGGTACGTGGCGGGTCTTTAGCTTGAGTCATGGTGTAGGAATTGTGATCCAGTGGTCTTCAAGCTGTGCAAGAGCACGGCGCGCCCACTAGCCCTTTAGGGTTTAGGGTTTAGGGGGGTTAGGGCGTTAGGGGGTTTAGGGTTTAGGGCTTAGGCTGCTTGAATCATATTCAAGATCGCTCTCTGTGGGCCGTGAGGTTCCACGCAGTGACGTCTGAAGGGCTTTCGGGTTCCAGGTTCGGGCTCTGAACCCTAAACCCCAAACCCTAAACCCTAAATTTAAATCCAAACCCTAAACTCGAAACCCTAACCACTAACCCTAAACCCTGAACCCTGAACCCTTCAGGGTGTTTAGGGTTTGGGGTTTCGGGGTGGTGTGGATCAGGCTTTGGGGGTTCAGCCTGCAACTTGCAACCCTGGGTCCTGAAGAGTCGTATTAGGGTTTAGCGTTTCGGGTTTAGGGTTCGGGGGGGGGGGGAAGAATAGTTAAAGTTAAAGGTGGGGGTTCTAGTAGAGGATCTCACCACATGCGAACCGTGTGAACACTTTAACTCCAAACCCTCGCAGAACCTTCAACCACATCGAAAGCTGAGAGGCTTCAGCGCAAAACCCTTCAACCAAAGCCCCTGAGGCCCTGGCTAGCTTGGGGATTTGAAATCTTCTAATTACGGGTTGTTGGGATAGTTCAGGCTTCTTTTTTTGTTGGAGGGGGGGGGAGGGGGGGGGGGGGGGGGGGAGTGGAAGGTTTGGGGCTTAGGGTATCGCACAAAGTTGATTTTAATCATGTGGGGTGAAAACGTGCCTGAAGCAAACCTCGGTCAGTGCAGGCATATGTACCCTTCGGATGATTCGGGGTTAGGGATTCCCTAAACCCTAAACCCTGAACCCTAAAATCTTGCGCATGTAGAGACGCCGATCCTGCGAGGATGTTGGTCCGGTTCCGGCCCAAACGTCGCACAAAGGACCACTGGAGCCTGCCAAAACCAGGGTTCAGGGTTTAGGTAGGGTTTAGGGTTTAGGGTTTAGGGTTTAGGGTTTAGGGTATAGGGTATAGGGTTTAGGGTATAGGGTATAGGGTTTAGGGTTTAGGGTTTAGGGTTTAGGGCTTAGGGTTTAGGGTTTAGGGTTTAGGGCTTAGGGATTTAATGCGAGGCAATGCTTTCATGTTCCTGGGCTGCCGGAAACCCAGGGGATGCAGCCCCCTGTGAAGGGTTCCGGGCTTTTGAATCCCGGCTGTCGCCCCTTCCGCTACCAGAGGGAAGGCGAAAAAGGCTTAGGGTTTAGGGTTTAGGGTTTAGGGTTTAGGGTTTAGGGTTTAGGGTTTAGGGCGCATCGCTGGCAAGATTGTTTCCGGGCCCGCATCTAAGTGACGACCTAAACCGCCCAAACTCAGGGTCGTCTCCACATTTCAACCTCGCCAGCTCTGTGCCGACGTGCCCCATGACTTGGTATGGAGTCTGTCATGGTCCCTGAACCCTAAACCCTCAACCCTAAACCATGAACCCTGAACCCTAAACCCCAAACCCCTAAACCCTAACCCTGATCACCAACAGAGCGGTTGCTGAGCCCTAAACCAAGTCGTACACCCCAAGCCCCTTGAGCTCTAAAACCTAAACTCTGAATACCCTGACGGGTTTAGGGTTTAGGGTTTCAGGGCTTGCGGGTTTCTAAGAACCCTGGAGCAACCCTAAACCCTAAACCCTAAACCCTATTCCCGAAACCCTAAACCCTAAACCCTAAGCCCTAAACCCTAAACCCTAAACCCTAAACCCTATTCCCGAAACCCTAAACCCTAAGCCCTAAACCCTAAACCCTAATCCCTAAACCCTAAACCCTAAACCCGAAACCCGAAACCCTAAACCCTAAACCCTAAACCCTGAACCCTAAACCCTAAAACGGAGCCTCCGGCCGCCAGCTTCCTCTTGGCGCCGCGCATCTCGGAACGTTGAGGCGAAGAGCGATCCGGCCTCGCGTTATTCGTTGCATAGGGTTTAGGGTTTAGGGTTTAGGGTTTAGGGTTTAGGGTTTAGGGTTTAGGGTTTAGGGTTTAGGGTTTAGGGTTTAGGGTTTAGGGTTTAGGGTGTAGGGTGTAGGGTGTAGGGTTGAGGGTTGAGGGTTGAGGGTTGAAGGCTTAGGGTTTAGGGTTTAGGGTTTAGGGTCTAGGGTTTACGGTTTAGGTGCTTAGGGGCTGATGGGGCTTTAGGGGCTTTAGGGGTCGCCCTCAACCGTAGAAGCCCCTAAAAACCCGAAAAAGGCCTGTTTAGGGCCTTCAGGCGTTCGGACGAGCGCGGGGCGGGGCGGGAGTGCTCAGCGCCTGAGAACCCCGAAGCCCACATAATTCGGCATCCGATATTCGTAGGCAGCCGCAGAGTGCCGTCTAGTGGTTTAGGGGTTTATGTTTTTTTTTGTTGGGTTTAGGGCAAACACTGGACCTCTAAACGTTTAGGGTTTAGCATTTAGGGTTCAGGGTTTTCGATCAGGATGCACAACGGGAGAAACGACCCCTTAAATGAACCCGGCGTTGAGTATAAGCGCTCTGCGTTCAGGGTTTCTAGGATCCTAAACCCTAAGCCACCCCAAGGCCTAACCCCATATAAACCCGAAACCCTAAACCCGATAACCCGATAAACCCTAAACCCTGAAACCCTAAACCCCTGAAACCCTATAAACCCTAAGCAACACATCGCCTCGAAGAGCCCGGACAATTCTAAACACTAAGAAGCCCGCCAAAAACGTCCCCAAGATGCCATGTTCTTAAGAACCCCTCCCCCAAAAAAACAAAAAAAGTTGAAACAACTCTTCCTTAGAAGGGTAACATAGAAGTGGTTATCTTCGATTTGTTTGGGGATTTAGGGTTTAGGGTTTAGGGTTTAGGGTTTAGGGTTTAGGGTTTAGGGTTTAGGGTTTAGGGTTTAGGGTTTAGGGCCTCGCCCCCAAAGCCCACCTGAAAAAGGCTGTGCACACACTGAAGTCCCAGGTCCTCAGCTCGGGGGTTTAGGGTTAGGGTTTAGGGTTTAGGGTTTAGGGTTTAGGGTTTAGGGTTTAGGGTTTAGGGTGTCAGGCTTAGGGTTAGGGCGCATCTCCAGCAATGGGATACAGGCAAACCCGCGAATTTTGGGAAAGTTGATTTGCGAAGATTTGGAGTTTGATTCTCTGAGCGTACAAGAGGAAGTAACACGCAAGATCAACGAACTTTGCTCGTTTTTTTTGTCAAGTCTGGGAGGTTTTCCACTGAGGACAAGGTGTAGTGTCGAGGGTTTATTCCCTGAACTGGCAATCCTAAACCGCGGCAAGTCCTTAAGAAAGAGCTTGTGACTCTGTTGAACCTTTAGACCCATTCTTTGGGACCCTTCAAAGCACCTGCGAACATTTATCCGGTTGCATGGAGAGAGAAAGACTGAAAGAAAGAGGAGAGAGGGAGAGAGAGAGAGAGAGATGGAGGAAGCAGACATGAAAAAAAACAACAAGAACAACAACAAACAACAAGCGTTTCTAAACGAGCGTGGCATGGGTCCAAGGCCCCGAATAGTCGCTAGGGTCAGTGAGTTCAGGGGTCGTTTAGGGTTTACGGAGTTTACAGTAAGGCTTAGAATTAGAGTTGAGGTTTAGGGTTTAAGGTTTTTTGTTGAGGGAGTTTAGGGCAAAGCGAGCTTCGAGGCTCGTAGTAGCTGCCGCAACGAACATCTCGCACCAAACTCCTCGAGACGCGGTAAGCCCTCATTCGACGAAATGGTCCTAGAGTGCTTACATACATGTAAGGTGTATGCCACACGTTTTTGAAGTGTATGCAAGATGCAATATACAAAAAACCCATACGAGGTTTTGATGTTAACAAGAGGAAAGTATTAGTAATTGAGCTCTGTTCTACGCAGTCTAAGGCTCAGTTGAACTAGAGCAGCGTAAATCCACATCAGATGATAAGGGACATAGATGCTGTGCTAGCTGCATGCTACACTACCAGCTATACTACCACCCCCCACCCCCACCCCCGTCCCCCCCACCAATCCACTCCCTTTTTGTGGTTTTTCTGCCGGATCTCTAAATGACACCGACTCGTGGCTTCGTTGTTGGCGCCGTGCAGCGAGGGTTAGGAATTCGGATTCAGGATTTGGGGCTTGGGCGCGCTGTTGGGTTCGGGTCTACAGTTCAGGGAACCGCCGTTCAATCCCTGATCGGTTGCACAGCGCTAGAGGCTTGAGGTCTTCGGGTTTGGGGCTTCGGGTGCTTACGTATACCTGTAGACCCTTACGCCCTGTAAGCCCTGTTTGGACGACCCACTTGGGAAAGGCGGCAACTACAAAGTGGGCTGCAGGGGTAGGATTTTTTTAGGGTGTTTAGGGTGTAGGGGTCTTGTGGCTGAGAGTTTAATTAGGGTTTAGGGTTCGGGGGTTAGGGGTGGGGACCTGACTTCGTCCACGGAATCTTCGTGAAGAAAATAGAGCTAGTTATTCAAACCCTAAACCCTAAACCCTAAACCCTAAACCCTGAACCCTGAACCCTGAACCCTAAACCCTAAACCCTACTCTAGAGCTCCTAAGCAAGGTGTCTGGGGCTCCTACAGCAGACAAAAAAGACGGCTCAAGGGAACCCCCCGCAGCCTCAGTGTGATGCATTCCGTCGTCACGGACGGGTAAGCGCTGGCCTCGCCCAACGCCCCAAGATAGACATGTATACATATATATATATGTATATATGTATATGTATATAATATACATATATATATATATATGCGTGTGTACATATGTATATGTATATATATATGTATATGTGTGTATACGTGTGTAGTAACATATATATATATATACATGTGTGTGTATGTATGTATGTATGTATGAATGTATGTATGTATGTATGTATGTATATGCACACATATTCTTTTAATATCTGGTCAGTATAAGTACCTAAACTACTTAACAACATCACCCAAAGCTTAAGAAAACGCCATGACCATATGCATAGGGGCTCGAACAGAATGAATCTCTGTGCCCTGGCCCCAGGGACGGGTAGGCCTGCTATTTGGACGACGCCCTACCTACCCTAAACCCTAAACCTCAAAACCTAAACCCTAAACTCTAAACTCTAAACCGATCTAAACCCTAAACCCTAAACCCTACCTATAATGAAGGGTCTAGGGAGTCCCCCTGGGCGCCATGGTGCACGTGCGCCCTATCCTTGACTGACCGGAGATGAGGTTCGGGGTGAAGGGCCCAAAACCCTAGGGTTTCGGGTTTAGGGTTTGGGGTTTAGGGTTTACGGTTTAGGGTTTGGGATTTAGGGTTTAGGGTTTAGGGTTCTCGGCTTTGGTGGTTTCAGGAGTTTTTTAGGCTCTTGGGCTGTGGAGGTTTGGAGTACGATGTTTTCTTTATGGCATAGATCGGGTTTCCGGCTTAGGGTCGTTGAGCCCTTACTGGTAGGCTTACGCGGCCTCTCGAGTTTGAAGTATGTGTATGTAGGGCTCCAAGATGCAAGGCTTCAAAGAAGAGAGAACTGTTTTAACCCATCACAAAAAGACATACAAACTGAAGCCCCACACTTTTAACCTGCAGCTTTTGCGGTTGATGCAAACGCCCTGACCTGGCTATCCACAGCCGCCACGACCGCGACGAGTACCTGAGCCGTCCAACACGCGGAGGCTTCTGCAACATCACATGGCTGGCATCTGGGTTAGGTCGTGCATGGCTCTGGTATAGGGCTTCGCTGTTGAGTCTTCGGCACACGTACCATACGCATGCGAATACCGATATCGATATGCATGTACAGACGCCTATACGCCTGTACGTCTCCAATGGTACCTACAAACCCTAAACCCTAAACCCTGGGCCCTAAACCCCAATCAACCCGCTTGTGTGCCTCTGTGTGCCAACTGTGAACGAACATGAAACGAATTAAGCAAAACAACGGATAAACTAGCAGGTGAATAGTTGAACTCGGGTTTACACACAAATCAGTAGCAATTTCCTCCGTGTTTCATGTTGAGATTTATGAGCCATTTCGGACGTTTGCCTCTGCAATGCGCATATGTGTTCATGCGGGCTCCCTGCCAGCTAAGACTCTGCGCTAACCCTAAGGCTACACATTCTCACTCAGTCGCTCATTCACTCACTCACTCACTCCCGCTCTCCCTCTCTCTCTCTCTCGCTCTCTCCTGCGCTCGCGCTCTCTGAATGGACATCCCACCAACAATTCTCACTTGCCAGGCTTCACCGACTAATTCTGTACGTAGTGCTTCTTTAAAGTCAGCACGCCAAAACATCTCTAAACCCAAAACCCAAAACCCAAAACCCAAAACCCTGAACCACTCGCGGAGCTTCTTGGCGGTATCGAAATATCTGCTTTGTCCCAGCTCTGGCATCGGATCGCTAAAACAGGTTGATCTTGCCTTCACCGCCTGCATAGGGTTTGGGGTTTAGGGTTTAGGGTTTAGGGTTTAGGGTTTAGGGTTTAGGGTTCAGGGTTTAGGGTTTAGGGTTCAGGGTTCAGGGTTTAGGGTTTAGGGTTCTGGATTCAGGGTTTAGGGTAGGGCGACTGCATTCCACTCCGTCAAGTGAGACGAGCAAGATTCGAGTCCTTCAGCATCACCTTTTCCTCGATTAGGCACACAATTCCTTTAGGGTTCAGGGTTCAGGGTTTAGGGTTTAGGGAGGATTTCGAGCTAGGGTTGTTTTTTTAGGGATAAGGGGTAAGCCGCAAGCTCGAGGAACTCTAGGACCTTCATAAACCCTAGAATATAACCCTAAACTATAAACCCTAAACCCTAAAGCCTAAAACCTAAACCCTAAACCCTAACCCTAAACTCTAAACTCTTTTCTTCATGTTTTCCTTGGTCTAAACCCCCCTGAGGCCTGAGCCCACGACATTACGCGGACCCTGAAAAAACGAAACCTGAACCGCAAACCCTAAACCCAAAACTCCAAACCCTGAACTGTAAACTCGATCGAGAACTCCAGACCCGAAACCAGAAACCGAAACCCTCAATACTGAAAATCCTGAGGGTTTAGGGTTTAGGGTTTAGGGTTCTGAAGATTTCTTGCAACCAAGGCGACTGCGGGTGCTCCGCGGCGGCAGAGCTGCGAAGTGGCCCCGCGGGCGGTGCGCTGGAGCTCGACCGAAGCCTAGGCGGGCACTTTCGGGGCGAGGGTTTAGGGTTTAGGGTTTAGGGTTTAGGGTTTAGGGTTTAGGGTTTAGGGTTTAGGGTTTGGGGTTTGGGGTTGAGAGGTGAAGTGTCTCAATAGTTGCCTGCCGGGCATTCCAGCAAGGGTCCTGGCCCTGCAAGGCTTGTCTAAGGGTTTCGGGTTTAGGATTTAGGGTTTAGGGTTTAGGGAGCCTAAAACGCCTAAACTTGTTTGTGGGGTTTAGGCTTCAATGGCTCATGGCTCACGCGGTTTTGGGAATTCGGGAATCCTCACCAAGACATGCAGACAAACGGCAAAACCGTAATCCCTAAACCCTAACCCCCTAAACGTAAACCCTAAACCCTTAACCCTAAACCCTAAACCCTAAACTCTAATGCGCAGCCCCAGTTGCCAAGTCCAGCGTGTCTCGAATCATCGGCGCAAAGCACCTCAAGTTCCGAGGGCCCTGTTTCGGTTTAGGGTTTGGGGTTTG